GCTTTTTTTTTTTTTTTTGAGAAGTTTTTGCTACAGGGCATGTGCGCTCGCCAGAAAAACAGAGAGAGACAGAGAGGTGGAAAGCGAGAAATCACCCCCCCAGGGGAGATGGCCATGCCTCAGTACCTTCTCCATTTTCCTCCATTCTCCTCTCGGGATCTCGGGCACACACACACATGTGCCCAGCGTGAGTTTAAGCCATTGGGTCTGGGACTCGAACTGCGGTCGGCTGCATTCCGTTCAGTGACATAGCCATTACGCCAACTGCTGGTCTCTGGCACACACTTTTAAACTAAAGGACGAACACCCTAAAATGCACCATGGAGAGTTTTCTTTGACCAAATAATCCCACGGGACAGTGTGGCAGGTAGGTGGCCTTGCCCACCCCAGGCCAGAGCTGTGGGCCTAGACAGACTCACCATTGTGTCAGGGACCCAGTGATTTGCCACAGAGCTCGCAGCCAACCCTGGCCCCTCCCGGCCAGTCTCACGCGTGGACCATCAGCCTGCTCTCCCTGTCCCAGGCTTCGACTTCAAGACCTGCAATGTGTTGGTGGCTCTGGAGCAGCAGTCTGCGGACATCGCCCAGTGTGTCCACCTGGACAGGCACGAAGAGGATGTCGGCGCGGGGGATCAGGTACAGCTGCTGGGGCCGCGGGCTCCCTGCAGCGCCGGCTGCCCAGACTCGACCAACCTGTAGGCCGAACTGGGCAGTTTCATGAGGAATGAACAACCGCTGCGGGGTGGACCCCACCCCAGCTCAAGACCTGGGAGAGAGTGGCCGCCCTTGCCCGGCAGCAACTCCAGGACCCAGCCTAGTGTGGAAGCCTCGCCTCTCCTCCTGGAGAGATGGGGTCAGGGCCTGCTTCTCCCTGAGCTCTGCGTCCAAGGGTCCCCATAAGCTGAGGCACCAGTGCAGCTCCCAGGCTGGTCTGAGGCAGCTCTGTGGCCTGCTCCCTCCCTGCCCCAGGGCCTGATGTTCGGCTACGCCACGGACGAGACAGAGGAGTGCATGCCGCTCACCGTCATCCTCGCCCACAAGCTCAACGCCCGCATGGCAGACCTGAGGCGCTCTGGTGTCCTCCCCTGGCTGCGGCCTGACTCCAAGACCCAGGTGAGCTGCCGCTTGGCTTCCCATGGAGCTCCAGACAGAAATCGAAGCGCCCTCAAGTCCTCCCGATTCTTACTATTTCTGTGCTTAAAAGTTCAGTCTGGAGAGTGACAGTACTGTTAATTTTGAATAGAAATATTTATTTGAAAATCTTTAGATGTTCCTCCCCATTTTATTATAAAAATATAACAAATGCAGAGAAGTTGGAAGAATAGATGTTTTGGCCTTGTTAGCTTCGTCCACTCTGATGGCTCCCCCTTCTTGCCCTCAGCCTCAACAGCCACTGCCCCGCGCCCTGCTCTCATGCTGCAGCCGGCTGTCTGATCTCACTGTAGCCCTTTTCCTTTTTTTTTTTTTTTGGCTATAGGGTGCATGCATTCACCAGACAGACAGAGAGAGACAGAGGGATATAAAGCAAGAAATCACCCCCCTCGGGGGGATGGCCATGCTGCAATCCCTTCTCCTCCATTCTCCTATCCGGATCTTGGGCACACACGCACACGTGCCCGGTGTGAGTTTTAAGCCACCGGGTCCAGGACTCAAACCGTGGTTGGCTACAAGAGAGTCCAGCGACATATCCATTATGCTAACTGCTGGTCCCACTGCGGCCCTTTTTCTTGTCTCCATCTCTTGTGAGATGGCTTTACTCCAGCTGTTTCCAGGGCCAACCCATGGGCCTTGACCTCTCACTCCCTGATGTTGAAACCCGCCCGAAGGCTGGCAGTGAAGCAAGTGTGCACACATGAAGGCCTCCCCCCACGTCCACTCCTGTCAACCCTGATGACCTGACAGTCTCACCTCGGGGCTCTGCCCTGGCCCCTTCCACGCTTGAACACACGATCCCCCAAGTTCCTGGCACTTCATCCTCCACCCCCATCTATGTTGGTGGGCTCCATTTCAATCTTTGTACACTCAGCCCCAGGTCTCTCGCACTGGGTCCCTCTGGCATGAGATCAGCTCCTCACTCTCCCCTGAGTGAGCGTGGCCTCTGTGTACACCCACCTGCTGAGCTGAAGGGGCAGGCTGGACCCACCCTGCACCCCTCTGGCTGCACTGCCCCATGCCCGCTCTCCTTGTCGAGCCCCCCTCTAGCTCCAGCCCCGCCTTTCCCAGAGCTGTGCCATGATGGCCAGGCAGACCAGTGCCCTCCCGAGCTCTCTGCAGCAGGAACCCCCAGCTGTCCTGGCGTTCGAAAGCTTTTATGGCCTCCCAGCTTCACCTTCCTTTGCCAGCACGGCCCACCCGTCTTCGCTAATTCACGCCATTTCCCTCGCACCCTGCTTCGTGGTGCTTTGCATCTGTGCTCTGCCCTTGCGTTGGGACCCTTCTCTGGTCCTCACATACCCGTGAGAGGCCAGTGCAGTTTCCACCTCCGTGGGCACCTTCCCTGGTCACCACCAGGTAGGGCTCTCTGCGCCTGCACTTGGAGCTTGGCGCGTGTGTGTTTATCACTCCAGCTGGGGCACGAGGCTCTGTCTTGTGTCTCTGGTTGCAGAGATGTGTCTTCCTGTTCTGAGTGTAAGGCCGTGCACAGGGCAGAGGTCGCATACCGGCTGTACCTGGGGCACGGGCGTGTGCGTTGCCCAAAAGGAACCACTCCTTGGGACTTTCAGGTTCCCCGCATGACCCCATAGGTGGGGAGGGGAACTGTCAGCATCCCCTGGGTGTCCTTGAAGGCACCAGAAGACTGCACACAGCACTAGTGTGAGCGGCATGCCTGGGCACACAGCACTGGTGTGCGTGGCATGCCCGGGCTGGGACGGTACTGTGAGGCAGGCCAGGGAAGGACTCGCAGGAAGAGACCCTGAAATGGGGGTGAGAAGAAGTCGGTGAAGCTGACCGAGCCTGCCTTTCTTTCTGAGAGTATGAAGGTGGAGCAGCACCCCAGGGGAGGCGTCCTGGTTTGCTTAGATAAGCAATGGCGAGTTTGCAAGTGTAGCAGTGAAGGGAGAAGAGGGTGGGCTCTTCAAGGCTTTCCCATCCTGGAGGGGCACACCAAATTCTCTTTAAACTGCTCGCCCAGAGGGCAGGCCCATGCGAGAGGGTGTGGGTTTGCAAGGGAGCTCGGAGAGGGCCCCCAGTGGCCCAGGGCAACCTGGCTCATCCTTAGCCACCCTGGTGCAAGGGCCCCTCTGGGAGCACTGTGCTGCGGAGGGCTCCCCCTGTCCCAGAGGTGCCTGAACAGGTGAGACTTCCCACCTGAACTCACCGCTGGTACAAGTGCTGGCTGCAGTGTGGAGCTGTTTTTGCACCTGTCGGAGCTGTCGTTCAGGCCTCCCGGTACTGCACTGTGTGCTGAGACGGAGCAGTGCTCAGGGCCTGCGCCCTGCTGCCCCGTTCTGTGGGTCTCTGAGGGCACCACGGGGCTCCCTGGGGCAGAGGAGCTGCTAGCAGTGGAGATGAGCCTCCATCCCAGCTGCCGCTCCATCACAGGCTTCGCCCAGAGCTGGGGGTTGTTCTCGGCCTGCAGTCTGCGTGCCTCTGCCGGGCTCCAAGGTCGATGTTGGGCAGCCAGAGCTCTTCCCCCTTGTCCTCTGGACCCTCCTGCATTGTCTTTGGTCCAGGCAGGGAACAGAGCAGGACCAAAGGCCTGGAGTTTGGTGCATGTCTGAGACCTTGTTGCAGGCACAGTCCGGGGCACCTTGCTGCCGTCCAAGTCCTGGGTAGGAGCTGTTCTGCACCTGTCAGTCCGTGTCCTACCAACTCCATCCGGGCAGCTGCAGCACTGCAGGTTGGGCCCTGCTGTGGGTCCACAGCACCTCCCACAGCACTGGGCCTGCGGCTTAGCACCCCGCAGGACCCAAGTGGGCAGGCCACAGTGGCAGCTCTCGGCCGCACCGCCCCAGCTCAGACCCCGCTCTTCCTGCTGCACTCTCTCTCTCTCTTTTTAAGGGAGGGGGGGGAGAAAGAGAGAGGGGAGGGGGGAGAGAGAAGCAGGGAGAGAGGGGGGAAGAGAGAGAGTGAATGAGAGAGTGAAAGGGAGAGAGAGAGAGAGAGAGAGTGAGTGAGAGAGAGAACGAGCGAGAGAGAGATCACCCCCGGGTGGGGCACCATCACACTGCAGCCCTCCGTCCCCCTCCTGCTGGGCTCTGGGGTGCTCACGACACTTCTGGCACGTTTTCAAGCCACTGGGTTCGAGCTGCAGTTGCCATGTGGCTTGGGCTCCTGAACCACCAGGCTGCGAGGCAGCCCTGCCGTGTGATCTGAGATGTTTACCACTGGAAGCTCAGCTCCTCTGCTGTAAAAGGTGGCAGGATCGCATTGTCTCTGGCACAGCTGTCAGGGCTTGTTTCTTCCCTGGCCTCATCAGCCGTCCACACTGCATTGTCCCCCCACTCTGAACCAAGGTGCCCAGGCTGCTTCCCTTCCCCCAGGGTGGACAGGCCCGTGGAGAAGCTCTGGCCTTCACGCTCCGGGTATGTGACCTGGCGGGCTCTGCCATGGCCCATCTTCTGGTCTTCTCGCTCACAAGGGAGCTGTGGTCTCCCGCTGTGCTGTCTGGAGCAGTGGCCCATGGGCACGGCAGGCCCAGAGCTGCCCTCGGGATGTGGCCCGAGCTGGGCTCCTGGCTGCAGCAGCCCCCCAACTTCAGCAGATGCCCAAGGCAGGCAGTCCACGCTGGCTCCCTCTTTGTCAGCCAGCAGCATCCCTGCCCCGGCCTGCAGCAGTCCCTCTGCAGCCGTACGCTCCCAGGGTCCTCTCCCGAGGGTGCAGGGGCCACCATGCTCCCCTGCCAATCATTCTGGATGGCCTGAAAGGTGCCTCTAGCCAAGTGTCCCTTCACACTCCATGGCACAGGCCTGGTGTCCCTGGTGATGAGGTGAGGCTGGTGGCTCCTGTGGTCACCGGCAGGAACACAGGCATTGGGCCTGCACCACGGGCTTGGCCAGGAGGACATTCTGACTACCCAGGAGCCTCTGAGCTCGAAGGGAGGAGCCTGGGGGTGGTCTCAAGCCGAGAAGAAGCTAAAGCCTCCCATCGGCACCGACGGTGGCTGTGTCGAGGGTGGTGATGCCGACGCCCAGCCCAGAGCACGGGCATTGTTGTGGTGGGAGAGCTTGTCAGATAAAGATCGTGAGGGCCTGTGGGACAGGAGGCCCCACCCGAGCCCTGGGCACTGGTGCCTGGCAGCAAAGCACCCTCAGCCCAGGCCTTGGCCTTGCAGAGCCCTCCTGCCCTCTGACACGCAGGTGACAGTCCAGTACACGCAGGACAGTGGTGCCGTCATCCCTGTACGCGTCCACACCATCGTCATCTCCGTGCAACATGACGAGGACGTCACGCTGGAGGAGATGCGCCGGGCCCTGAGGGAGCAGGTGATCCGGGCTGTGGTACCCGCCCGCTACCTGGATGAAGACACCATCTACCACCTGCAGCCCAGCGGGCGGTTTGTCATCGGCGGTCCCCAGGTGCGCCCTGGTCTCCGAGCGAGGCCCTCTTAGGTCTCCGAGCGCAGACACCAGGAGAGGCAGCTCTGAGTGGCTCCCCCGGGG